AAATCAGGGCATGTGTATGTGAGTGCATGGGGACACTATTGAAAATCACCTTGGGACAGCAGGTATAAAGCAGGACTGCCCGGAGCAAGCCAGGGTGTACAGTCATATTACTGCTACATCAGGTTCTTCAGAAAGACCACATACACAGATGCTCAGTAAGCAGTGAATTACATCTTCTTCTGGACTCTGAGGATAACTTGTAGGAGTGGGCATCACTCCTGCCTTACTGCGTCAGCAGCAATCATTAGTATAACTGTAAAACATAATCATTTCAAACCTCACTGTCTGCCATACTTAACTGACAGACACAATCAGGAAGAGGTGATCTAAAACCTAGATGTCACTTTCTTAACAAAACAAAACCCTCTGTTTAGGACACGTGCTGTTCTTTCTTCACAATTTTCAGTTGATCATTCACTAACTTCTGTAATCTTGAGAAAGTAACAGTACATTCCCTGGCTGACTCCTCTATTTCTTCTCTAAACAGAGGCAACCAGCCAACACACACACACAGAGCTTTACCTTCTCATCAACAAAACTCACTGGAAGCTGGAAGCACAAAGATTAATTTGCTCATCTGATCAAAAGTGAAATCACAAATGTCAGGCAACGATTGGGTTCCATGCTATTGTTTTGTCATTGGGGACTTTTAAGGGCTCAGGATGAAACCAAATAAATAGGATTTCCTGGGGTTTTGTGGAGCTGATTGGAGCCAAATTATGAATCCAACGTTTGCCTAGACTCTATCTCTTGAGGGATTCATGAGCACTGAAATTTAACCTGTATCCAAACACATTGCCCTTAACCACTCCAATGGCCTGACATACCTCTCCCTCAATGCCATGTTAGAAATGTAAACACCTGCTTATAAGTTAATAGATTATAGCTCACCTTTCCAACCATTCTGTCACCTCACACATTTCACTTCAGGAGAGGAGGGAGCCCTTGATGATATGATATCATGAAGGCCTTGGATCATCAAAAAAGAAAAGAAACAGATTCAGTTACTTTCCTTTCCTTTATTTTCCCCCTAATTTTTCCACTAACACAGTACTAGCTCTGACTATACATATGCCAAAAAGAAAAAGTGCATAATGTCCTCTCAATACTGTGAAGTTTGGGAGAAAAAGTTCAGTAGTATTAATAATTAAAGCATATGAGTGCATTACTGTTAGAGCCTTTTGTTTCCATTCTTCTCAGAAATCTAACACAATGTTCAAATGTCCAGTTTTCCTTTTACTGGTTTAGGACTAGATAAACCTCCCTGCATTTGTCTATGGGGCTTGCTTCATTTCCCATTTTATATTAAACTTCTATATCTTACCACTGTGAGATGTTATTTGAAAGCTGACTTCCCCCAAATACAGCAGAACACAATATAATTAGAAGAAATTCAAGGAACAGTTCAATTAAAACACTTATTTTTAATATTTAAAAAGTGTTCAAGTGATGTTTAAAGGAAAGAACATAAGTTAGTTATTGTTAATGATGAGTGGCTAATCATTAAGTAGAAATTAAAGAGAAAAAATATCTAAAGGTGGAAGTGAAAGAAGTTGAATATAGGTCAACAAGATAGAGTTCTTTCCTTAAAAGGCATGAATGTTTCTTTCAGTAAATATTATTTTATTATGTCGTTATCCCATACCCTAGAGAGATATAAAGACAAATATTCAAAACACGTTGCTCTCAATGATCTTCCAATCAAAGAAAAGAAATGAGATAAACACTAATGAATACCCAGTGCACCCAAAGCAGTACAACCCTACAAGCTTACCTTATATGGTTGTCATGAACATTAAGAGACTACATATTTACACAATGTTTAATTAAAGCAGTCTGATACACAGCGTGCATGCATGCTCAATCATGTCCAACTCTTTTTGACCCCGTGGACTGTAGCCCACCATGCTTCTCTGTCCATGGAATTTTCCAGGCAAGAATACTGGAGTGGAGTGCCATTTTCCTTCTCCAGGTAGTCTTCCCAGTCCAGGAATTGAACTCACGTCTCTTGCATCTCCTGCACTGGCAAGCTCTTTACCACTCTTTACCACTGAGCCACCTGGGAAGCTCCTCCCTGATACACAGCAGTAAGCACTGTTATACATGTTTATTAAGTCAATAAATAAATACACAAAATACATGTGCCTTAAGAGAATCACAAGCAAATATGGTATATAAAAATTATTGAAACAAATTGATGTATAATGCCACCCTTAATGACATGTAACAGATGGTTGAAAAGATCCAGGAAGATTTCATAAAGAATAGGTTATATAATGGATGAGAAAATTGACAGCAGAACTTATTAAAGCTACTAAGGCAAAAGGAAGCACCATTAACCCAGGCATAGAGTTGAGATAAATTCATAACATAGTGAATAGACACAGGTGACAAGAATATAGGATGGAAGATTGGGCTTTAAAAGTGAGTCAGGCAGTAATGGGAAACAGATAATGCTTTGTATTATTTGTTAGTATTATCATATTTAGTGATACTTAAATGAAGATAAATCCTTTGGAAGTAACCAGCCAGTTTTACCAGAGTCAAATGTGCAGCTATGTGATGGTCACAATGATCTATCATACACAACTTTAGCAATTAGCATTGCTGTTCTGATGGCTAAAGTAATTAGTATAGTTAGTATTGATCAATGTGCTGCTATGGATTCTTATGGAATCCACCTGCCAATACAAGAGAGGTGGGTTCAGTCCCTGGGTCAGGAAGATCCCCAGGAGAAGGGAATGGATACCCACTTCACTAATCTTGCCTGGAGAATCCCATGGACACAGGAGACTGGCAGGCTACAGTCCATGAGGTCACAAAAGAGTCAGACATGGTTGAGTGACTAAACAACAACAACATGCTATTCTTTTAAGATAGATTCCTTATAAAATAATGAAATCTTGATACTGAGGTAGCTTTCACATGTGAGCTGGCATGCTTAGTCTTAAAGCTGTTGTTTAGTCAACAGTTTCTTAGACTCATCTCCTTTCTCACTCCTTTCCACCTTAAGTTTATGGAGAAATACTTAACAGAGAATAAAGGGTTGACTCCTGTTTTCTTCTCTTAGAGATGAAGTTCTTTCTCTATGTTCTGTCTCCAGCTCAGACTTTCTCTGCTGGTAGACTGGGAGCTGACTGAGAGCAGAGTCTATTACATCCATCCTTGAAGCCGCCACATCCAGTCCAGTATCATCTAGTACATCCTTGTGAACTGTGGTTTAGAATGTCTTAATTGGATTGGATTGGGTTGGATTAGGTTGGATCACAATGAATAAAAAGTAAAGCATTTCCTCTTATCATTTTTCAAATAACTTCTTATTTGGGTATAAAGTGAAGCATACATAGAATAATATTTAAACCGCCTTAGATATAGACTACTGTAAAGAGTCTGTATCCAACTGGATAGATTTCATTTGAAAACTGACAGCAGTTTCATCACAGTAGCTTGATAGATTATAATGAATACATCCCATCAAGCTGTATCATTTAAAGTAATACTAGTTGAAAGTAAAAAGCTTTAAATAAACCCTATTTAAAAATAGCTCATCATGTATATGTTGATAAAAACTCTTTGTATCACAGATTTAAAGACACAGAAAGTCTCCTTATGAAAGAAATGTATGAGACTTTTAGTGCAATTAGTTCTCTTTAAGAGACAGGAAAAAACCTAATTATCATACACCACATTGATGTAATTCCAAGCTGAGTACATGTATGCATTTAAATCATGGGAAAATATCCTTGAAGTGTAAATGATATACCAAATTTAGCTGTTAGGCAACTATTTCTACCATTTGGCGAAGTATACCTTAGAAGAACAGTCTGTAACAAAGAGATTTGCTTCAAACTCCTGATTTTTTAACCAATGCTGCTCTAAATCTACATACTTTGAACACATAAAAATTCTAATTGTTTCTTGGAAATGAACAGCAGCTGCCTATAGATGTATCACTTTATTCATTTATTTACTGCATATAAAATCGTTTAAAGGTAAGGTAGAAAAGGAAAAAACTTTTAAATCTTATATCTTTCCCATCATCTTAAAAATCTCACACAATGATCAGGAAAGTGTTCTCACTGAAAATCATATTTTGTCTAATGTGTCTGAAAATAATATATGATTGTGTTATTTGTATATGAAGAAATCTCCTTAGAGATAATCAGACATGCAATTCAGCACAGAGAGTCTAGAATTGACAAGGTTGTGCTTGTAGCTCTTATTTATGGATGACAATTATTCTTTATAAACTAGTTGATGGAAAGAAGTGTACGTTCTCTATCTTGATTGATTCTCCTTTTGCTGTTTTCTTTCTGTCGTGATGGATGTAGCTGAGGCGTATTCTGTTGAGCGCTTCCAATAAGTCATAAAAGGGAAACAGTCTTTTTTTCTGGGCTTATAAGCCCTTGGAGACCCTGAAGATTTGAGAGTTGTTTTTTTTCCAAACATAAAACAACAGAATGAGCCAGATATAAAAGGATACCTACCAAATGATTCTATTTACATCAAGCTCAAAAACAGGCACAAATAATCTTTGGTCAGCGTAGTGGTCCCTTATCCTTGGAGTCAAGCCTCTGGTAAATGATGATGGTACACGGTGTGTTTTCAGATATGGATGCTGGTTATATGAATGGGTTCAGTCTGTGACCATTTGTTAGCTATTCATTTATCTTTTGAATGTATGTTATACCTCAGTAAAAAGTCCAAATAAAAAAGGATAAAAGAATAAAAATTAAAAGCATACATATTTCCTTTTCCTCCAGTATACTACATTCTAAAGGGGCTCCTACTAGTCACAGTTTACAATAGTTGTGTTGTCCCAAGTCATAGAAGTGTTTAGCAGCAGAACCAGCATTTTGGATCTTTTGCTTCCATGTCTTGTGATTTTTTATTTTTGCCAATCACAAGTTATGCTTACCTCTCAGACCCATGACACGGCCTACTGGCAGGAAAGCTTTTAGTCTTTCTCTATGACCTAATGCCATTTGCCCTGTTAACAGGAGAGTTGTGTGAGGAGAAACTGGACTTCTGCGCCCAGGACTTGAACCCCTGCCAGCATGACTCCAAGTGCATCCTGACGCCAAAGGGATACAAGTAAGTCTGAGGCTGCCTTGAGGCTCATGACTGGGGGAGTAGGACCTTTCTTTTTTCATTATTTAGGTATTTATTATTTATTTGGCTACACCAGGTCTTAGTTGTGGCATGCATGATCTTTGATCTTTGTTGCAGCGTGTGGGATCTAGGTCCCTGACCAGGGATTGAACTTGGGCTCCCTGCGTTGAGAACTCAGAGTCTTAGCCGCTGGACCACCAGGGAAGGCCCAAGGAGGGCGTTTGGTTAAGGAACCCTCTTCTTTCAGAATCTAGCTTCACACCTTTGCTCAGGATTTACAGGGCATTTTCTTCAGGGTTATTGGCATTTTTGTAAATGTTTATTTACAGTATGAGCTTTTTTTTAGTACAACAGAGTTTCCTTTTGTTCTGTGACTTTTCAAGGGAAGTTTTGTATGAAATAAAATGGTCTTTGAATGTGTGTGTGTTTAATCACTCAGTCATGTCCAACTCTTTGCAACCCCATGGACTATACAGTCCCTGGAATTCTCCAGACCAGAATATTGGAGTAGGTAGCTATTCCCTTCTCCAGGGAATATTCCCGACCCAGGGATCAAACCCAGGTCTCCCACATTGCAGGCGGATTCTTTACTAGCTGAGCCACCAGGGAAACCCAAATAAATTCATAATATATACTATATGCTTTGTTACCTGAATGAAAGTCATCTTTGGTCAAATAAGAAGTTTAAATTAATGTAACTGAAAATGTTTTGGTCTGCAATAATACTTTAGCTACCCAAAGGGAGGACGCAGAGCGACCACATGTCCCGGGTCGCCTTGGTATGATCCGTTTTCGTCTGTTGTCTGTGTCGTTAACATTTAGTGTCTCCTTCACTCATGCGCATGTTATGTGGGGTGATAAGGCATCCAGTCATGCCAGCTAGCAATCTTCCTGAAATATGTTTCATATCAAATGAAATTATTCCTTTGCCACAATTCTGTAGTATTTTTATTTGTTTGTTTTTTGGGTGTTTGGTTTTATTTTGTTTTTTTTTTTTTCATTTTTCCCCAAACTTATTTATTTTTAATTGAAGGAAAATTGCTTCACTATATTGTGTTGGTCTCTGCCAGGCATGACCATGAGTCAGCCGTAGGTATACATGTGTCCCCTCCCTAATTAACCTCCCTCCCACCGCCTACCCCTTTCCAACCTTCTAGGATGTTACAGAGCCCTGGTCTGAGTTCCCTGAGCCATACAGCAAATTCCCATTGGTTATCTGTCTTACGCATGGAAGCATATACAGTCATGTGTAGAATTCTGTGATATTTTAAGGATCTATCAACAGCAGCTTCTTTTCTTAGCCAGGCAGTAGTTTGGAAATCATCCTGTAGGAACCCTTTATTTTACACACGAGGAAACCATGACCCAGAGAGGTCCGTGGCTGTCCAGAGGCCTCAGTGTTACTCGGGGGTGCAGCTGGAGCTGAATTTTATACTTCCCAGCTGGGTGGTTTTTCTAGTACAGGTTACCTCTGAGAAGGTTCACACTTTATCACCATGACAGGTGGTTTGTTACAGAAGATAAGCTGGATTCTCAGAAATGATACTGTAAGGCTCAGGTTGAGCTGTGCCTACAGGAGACAACTAGCAAAGAGCAATACTTGTTTCTTTTTTTTCTTTTAATTTTTTTTATTTTTTAATTTTAATTGGAGGCTAATTGCTTTATAATATTGTAGTGGTTTTGCAGTACATTGACATGAATCGGCCATGGGTGCACATGTGTTCCCCGTCCTGAACCCCCCTCCCACCTCCCTCCCCCTCCCATCCCTCTGGATCATCCCAGTGCACTGGTTTCTTTACCCAGTGTTTACTGAGCTTCTGCCATGGGTCAAGGCATGTGCTAATATTCCCATCGTTTGTTTTTATGGCGCTTTATGGCTATTCACTCTCTCATATTCAGGCTTAGTTGCCGTAGGATTCAGAGATTTAAAAATTAACTCAGGTCAGTTTTATAAGAATAGGTGGATTAGAGCTAGGACAACATATTAATACTTGTCAACAGATTATTGAATATTCCAAGTTGAATGGGAGATGGGGTCATATCACCTGACCCCTACTGCCTTTCAAAGATCAATCTGAGTAAAATACTTATTCTCAAGTTTCATTTAGAGAATATTTTATTTCAATTTGATTTAAAATTCATTATTTTAGAATATACAGTTGCAGCACCTGCTGATTTTATTTGATGCTTTTTTAAAAGAAAATATATCTGATTCTACTTTTCATATTTTAGTTTCCAACCGTATGTGGGAAAAACAAAAGTCTTATTGAAATCTTTATTTTATACAAAATTCTGCGTTGCATTTTGTTCTTCCAAATACATAGGTATATTATTTTAAGTCTTAATGTCTTTGATCTCCCGTTAATGAATTTGGCAAGTTGAACTTCCATCATTTACATAACAAATATTGTCATTTCTTAGAGAAATTAATCAGTAGAGCAGATGGTTTTACAGAAGGACTTATCTGCTGGACAGGTTTCACAAAGCTTGGGGAATTGTAATTACAAGATAGACTGTTAGTCAAACTTAAAGGAAACCACTCAAAAGTAAGTTCATCTTCAAAAAGACTACCCTTAATTCAGTATCTTTAATTACTATCAATTAGATTGCATGCTCCTTATAGTGCATTTACTGGATTAAACATTAACTGATTTGGGAACCCGTTGTTCTCAGCAGTATATTTGTGAGTTTGTATGTAGTTTAGCAGGAAACAGGATAAATCATAGTGTTTGCTATTAATCCCATATCATAAATAATTGCACATTGTGGGAAAGGAAGTTGCAAAAAAATAAGTGGACTTAGAAACCAAAATTATATGAAGATGCTAAAGAAAATTTCTACCAACAAATATTGTTTGGACAAGTTGTACTGTTTCTTCAACTACATTTTCTTATTACTAAGCTAATAGAGCTGGTTTTAGTTCTCTTGCTTTATTCTATACCTCATAAATCTCCTAAATTGCTTTGAGATATTTTTAGACTATGATATGCCGTAAGTAGAATTTTCAAGCATACATCTTACTTAGTCAGCTTTGGGGCTTCTAAACGATATATTTTATAGTCTTTGCTTTCTTCCTTTTTCCTTGTCAGATAATAGAGTTCAGGGAATGTGATACATTTTATTGATAATATAAACTTTAAGGAATTCATAATTAAATATTTTATTCCTGTTTTGAAACTCTGCCTGAGGAGTCAAAGAAAGGCCAAAATGTTGGTCATGATGTGACTCCGAGTTCTAATGGGCTTGAAAAATAGTATCTGTCGAGAAAAGAATATAAAATAGCTCTTAGACAGCCTCTTTGGTGAATACGTGGGTCTCTTATCTTTTACTTTGATTTCTCTTCTCAGATAAATAATTCAGAGTGTTTCAAAGCATTTCTTCTTTCTTTTAATGCTCTGTACTTGAGCAGCTCTGCTCACATTAACATTGATGGAAGCCCTTTTCTCAGGCCTTGTCCATCTAGTTGAGAATGTCTATGGCCATTTAGAATCCATTTAACTTCAGGCTTGTTTACTTTGCTTTGTTATGATTTAGCACTAAAACCACTGGCTCTAGAGCAGGCATGCTTATGCAGTGAGCTCATTTCATTTCTTAATTCATACATGCAAGGCTAAGTCTGTGGTGCCCTTAGACGGTATATACTCCCATTTATTTTAATTCATCAGTTCTCCAGTAACTCCTAAATACTGATTTTGCATTTTCAGGCAAAACTTTTGGCATTCAATAATATCCACATTCACTAGAGTGTTTTTAATTATTCTCGTTCTCTTACATCTTAATGGCTTTGAAATAGAAAAGTAAATAATTAGTACAGTCTAAACCATGAAAAGATTTTTTTTTAGAATTATAAAGAATTACATAGAATTATTTTTTAAAACTTATTTATTGATCATGCATTATATAAAAAATGCTATGCAAATTATTTTGTAGATAACATTTCTATTTAAGCTTTTAACAAACACCTGTGGGGTGGAAATTACTGTATATATGTTATAGATGGGAGTAACACATAGATTAAGCAGTATAGTTAAGATTACATACACTTAACAATGAAACCAAAATATGAACACAGCTCTGCCTAATTGCAAAGTCTAAATACTATTAGGCTAAATTAATTTCCTGGTTTATTTTTTTTTAAGTCAGTAAACCCTTTCTTAAACTCCAAACAGAAATACTCATGGAAGCCAGTGTGTAAAACTAATGAATCACAGCAGTAAAGTGTTGTTGGGTGGCGGGGTACAGAGGGAAGCTGCCAGAAGCCCCCTCCCTATTTATGGCCATATCTGTAGGAGTGCCAATAGCTTCACAAAGCATAGTTTTATAATCACTGCACATGCCATATTGCTTTTCTCTGAGCACCTTTAAAGTACTGTGTCTTGCTGTCATAGATAGAATTCCAGTGGTCAGCACTGATGAAAAAGTTTTTAAAGGGAATGCCGAGTAACTAATTTAACAGCGTAGAACTATGGTTAGAAATTCAGGCTTCTTATCAGATTGCTTGGGTTCAGTTCCTGATTATGGCACACCAATTGGATGTCCTTGGGAAAGGCAGTTTGTGCCTTGTTTCCTCACTTGTAGCAGGGAGGCATGGTGTCACCAATGTCACATGACTGTGGAGAGAATTCAGTGAATCCATATATGAAAATGTGACTAGAACAGGGCCTGAAGCAACATGCTCAAAGAACATCAGCTGCATTATCATCCCTGGTTCTTCACCAGCTGTGCAACCAGACATCCCTTCTGCCCCACACCACCAGAGTGAACAGTCTGAAAAGCTGTCCAGGATTGGGTCCCAGGAATTCAGTATCACCTTCCCTGCTCCACCCAGTTAGGTCAGCCCCCATTCTGCCCTAACAGTAGTCTGGATTCATGATGAATTAGAGAGTGTCTAATGCTAATATGTTTGCTTTTCATAATATTATATTTTACTCTAATGTATCCAGTCTCTATTGGAAAATTAAAAATGTTAATTGTTCTTAAAAATTTGCTTAAGGTTCTTAATACGTTTTACAACACAACACTTATCATGTCAGTACTCAGATGAATTAGCTGGAAATAGAGGACACCATTGCCAAATAGAGTGAAGGAAGAAGAGAGGGAGGAAGGGAAAGAGGAAAGAGTGAACCCCGGTGCAATTAGTGTAATCTTATTTGGATTGTGGAGGCATGCTGTCATCTGAGAGTGGAAAATTGCTGTTCCTCTGAGAGATCACAGTGAGAAACGTGGAAGGCTTCGCAGATCAGTACTGTTTACTAGGCATCTGTTAATGTTTAGGCTTTATGAGCCTGTTCTAAATGTTTTTTCGAAGACAGTACCAGTTTCCTAGAGGAAACACAACTGTTGTGCTCATTTTGGCTCAGTTAGGTTTGAAATTATTTACCTGCTTGTTCAAACAGATGTGACTGCACTCCAGGATACATAGGAGAACACTGTGACATCAACTTCGATGACTGCCAAGATCACAAGTGTAAGAACGGAGCCCACTGCACTGATGCGGTGAACGGTTATACCTGCACCTGTCCTGAAGGCTACAGGTAACAGTGCAAGTGAATATTTGTATTTAAAGTATTATAGGACTCAGTTCATATTGGCAATTAAGTAACATCTAGTCAATGTATTTTTTTTTTCCTGTTCATTCTTCAGTGGCTTGTTTTGTGAGTTTTCTCCACCCATGGTTCTCCCTCGTACCAGCCCCTGTGATAATTTTGACTGTCAGAATGGAGCTCAATGCATCATCAGGATCAATGAGCCAATATGCCAGTGTTTGCCTGGCTACCAGGGAGAAAAGTGTGAAAAACTGGTCAGTGTGAATTTTGTAAACAAAGAGTCTTATCTTCAGATCCCTTCCGCCAAGGTCCGGCCTCAAACAAACATCACCCTTCAGGTAAGGTTCCCCCACTACCAAGAGCTGATCTCATCTGAAATCAGCTCAGCTTCCTAGCATAAATGTGCCTGGCAGTTTGTGAGTGATATTATTTCTTTAACGGACAGTTACATACTGCATAGCACAATGACAGATAATGCTGCTTGTGTGAAAAGTTCCTGTTAGTCTCTCTAACATTTCTGTCTGTCAAAACTAAATGGACACCAGGTATTTTTATTCACTACTTGATCACATAAAATACACACACACACACACACACACTCACACTGAGAAGGAGAGCAGCAAAATATCTTTGTTCTGTGCTTAGGTAATGGCTTACCATGTGGCACAGTGTGAAAGAACCCTCCTGCCAATGCTTGGGTATGTAAGAGATGTGTGTTCCATGCGGGTAGGGAAGATCGTCTGGAGGAGGGAATGACGACCCCTCCAGTATTCTTGCCTGGAGAATCCCATGGACAGAGGAGTCTGGCAGGCTATAGTCCATAGTGTCACGAAGAGTCAGACCCAGCTGAAGTGGCTTAGCATGAACACATGCAAAATGCCATTTGATTCATTTATTTCTGAGGCTCTGCGGTTCAGGTACAGTGGGAGGGTGGGTGGAGTGGGGAGCTTTCCTTAGGAAATTTGTAGCTGACAAGAGCGCAAATGAGACAGAAAACACCTTGACAGAATATTCAGCCAAGTGTCATTTAACTTCACTGGAATTTACAAACTCAAATTTTAAGTCTTTCCACCAAGTCACCATTTACCTTTGAGCAAGTCATTCAGACCCCTATAGACAAGGTTAGGCTAGATTAGGGGTCATAACTTGACATGGGGCAGATTGGGGCAGTTTGTTTTATCTGTTCAGCAAGATATTTCAATATGTTTTTAATTCAAATGTGTGTAGCCAAGTTACTATGACCCTATTCCTTATTTGTTTTACCCTGGCACTCCAGCAAGGGGCCAAGGCTTCTTGAGAAGTCCTGAGAAATGGGACCCCGGAAGGCAGGCTGACGTTCTTTAAAAAGCCTGCCTCCCTAACTTCCAGCGTTTGCCACCCAGGCTGTTATGAGAAGTACCCAGTGGTGTTTGGGCTTAAGTTCTAACTTTTCCTGGTTCTTGGGAATCCTGAAAAAGTCAGAAAGCAGACTAAAAACAAAGATTTCCCCCAATCATGGCATAATTTAACATGCAACATGAAAATCCATTGTGGTCAATACAATCGCATTTCATATATGCCATAAAAAAAGAAATCCATAACAGGAGCAAAAAGAACAGGTAAGTGAAAATCTCCCCCAAAGGAAGTTCTTAGCACATTCGGTAATGTTAAGAGTTTCTTTTTCTTTTTTTTTCTTTTGGGACTGGCTACCTTTTTCAAATTTATTTATTTTTTAATTGAAGCATATTAAGTGTTTCTTATTATTCTTTTTAACAGAAAGGAAATGTGGTCATTTTATTCCTAATTAGATTTTGTCATTGTTGCCTGAGACAATATAGCTTAATTATAAGAGGGGAAACTTGATTCACATTAGACACTGTGAACTTGATATGGAAAATATTTTTCAATTTTAATTTTCTGAAGTATAGATTGTGTAATGTCCTTATTTTTGCATAATTTAAGGGACATAAATCTTTAAGCTTTAACTTGCTAATATGCGTGGAAAGAGAGTAAATATGTGTTTATGAATTCGAAAAACATTTTGAAGTTCTTTATGAATTTATTTATAACAAAGTAATCCAGGAATGGGTCATCTTTCAAGTAATCATCTCAGTGTGTATTAGTATTTTCTCAGAGCTGTAAAGAAGAAATAAACTAGACTAAAACCTCTTCACTAGGAAGTCTTGTTTCTTCTTAATGAAGTATGTATGAACAACTCTTCATCCTACTGATGTCAAGGTTACTTCCCACCAGATCGCCACAGATGAAGACAGTGGAATCCTCCTGTATAAGGGTGATAAAGACCATATCGCTGTAGAACTCTACCGAGGACGAGTTCGTGCCAGCTATGACACCGGCTCCCACCCGGCTTCTGCCATTTACAGGTGAGGACCTCTCAGCTACTGGTTAAGGTGGAAACAGTTGCTTAATGCAGAACTGCTTTCCTTCTATTATTGTGTTATGGGGAGGGAAGGAATAATTTGACTACAGCAGACTTTGTAAGTATGTTAGAGGCCTGGCAATAACAGCCTACTCAAGTTGGATAATTGAGAAAAGATTTATTAGACGACTATTTACAAAGATTGGTTGGGACAGTGGAGTGATCTGAAGTTAGTAACTCAGGATATTGCTCCTGCCCAGGGGCTTGAAGGAAAGAGGGAGACAGCAGTTACGGAAATCAGTGCTCAGAAAAGGAATTGTGGAGAGGACTGCCTGACAGAAAGAAGCACTTCCACCTTCGTTGGAGGAATGCTGTCAAGCCTCAGGGAAGGAATCAGGGTTTTAAATACTTGATTTCCCAACAACCTCCTGCCCATGCTTCTCTCTGGCCAATCAGATGCCAGAAAACATCAGACACCCACTGATCTCGGTAATGTAGCTCACACATGAGCCCCTCAGGGCTCAGCTCAGGGAGAAGATGGATGGAGAGTAACTCTAGAGAAAGAGATGCAGGATACCCAGTATAGGGAAAAATTTAAGGTTACTATTCATGCAGTGTGTATTTATTGAGCATTTGATGTGTGCGAGGCGCAGTTCTAAGCTTTCAGCAACAATTTTCCTGCTCTTAAGAAGCTTACACATAAAAAGCCAGTGGACACCTCCAAGATGTGTATAATCGTATCATTCATTTTGGAAATTTCTAATAATACAATGAATTGATGATATACTGAATGGCTAATGATGTACTGATATGTGAATGGGGGAGGATACACTACTCAAAGTATGCTTTTTGCATAACCTTCAGAGCCCCTCCTTTGGGTCTCAACACCAATCATTTGGCAGACAAGCTACCTAGTTATCGAGTTTATTTCTTCACATGTATAAATAACTGCCACCATTTAGAGCAGGGTCACAAATTCATAGGCAGTCAGTTTTTCCCGGTGGATAACTTAAATGAACTGAGTGTGGGCTAATAGCAAGCAAATGATATGTGCTCTCATTCTTTTATTCTTAAAAATATTCTAACCTTTTAGATAAGCTTTTCTGTGTTACCAACAGCCTTGGTGTTGGCACCATAATAGGCATGGTTGTAAGCAGAGTGAACTAAAAGCAAATGTTTGTCAAAACAGGACTAGACCTCGTCTACTCGGGTCTCCCTGAATGCTGCCATGTGAAAATGTGGACCCAGGTTTTGCCAGAGCTTCTGATTTTTCAAGAAAAAAATTAACACTTTAAATATAAAGTTTCCCTTCCTTAAATATGATTCACATTTTTAAAATGCCATTTGTGGCAAACAAAACACATTTGTAGACCAGACGCACTGAGCACCAAATTTGTGGGCATTAACTGAGACATAAATGGAGATACCAGCCTCTATGTTACTGACATCATACTTAGATATTTTCCATGTGTGTCACATGTTATTTAATCTTTTACAATGGTTCTGGGAAATTAGATGCCAGTTGTAGCCATGAATGAAATTCAATAAGTCCTTTTGGTGGTAAGCTAAGCCACTTGGGAATATTTAGAGCCTGGAAACAAACACATAATTATTGGTTTCCAAGTAGATTACAATAGTTATTTCATCTCTAAATGGTGATGAATTAGTGCCAATATTTTAAATGTTGCTAGGTCTTAAATTTTATAGCCTCAATTTGTTTCAACTCCTAAAAAGATTTCATAATATTGATTTTATGGTTCATTTTTGGTGTTTTGTTTGTTTGTCTTGTTTTATGCAATGAAACAGCATAGAACTCTCACAAACTATAGTAAAAGTTCCTAGAGTTGGCTTATTAAAGTTAGTGTTCACATAAAATACACTTAAAATGCTTCTAGATGAGTTGTAAAAACCCAAGTGATTATATCCAAATGAGGACTTACTCTAAAGAGCTTATTACAAGTTTATGTTCATTACGATTTTTGCCTAACAATAGAGTATACCTTGTAACATCTATAAAAAAAAGAATAGTATCATATCACACACTTTTTGTTATGAACCAAAAGTAGAGGTTTCTGCTTGAAGATCATCTAATGGAGACATCTGTTATGAGGGCCAGGGAAAACATAACATTTGTTTATTTCTTGCTCTTAAGTTTATGTCAAAACAATCAACAAACATTGCATTATTTTTAAGTAAAAGAAACAAAGCAACAGTCACCAAGAATTTGAATAGAGAGATCATACATAGATTGATTTATTGATCTATTGATATAGATAATATACACACACATATATATGAATACAGTAGTATTCCAAATAAGTAGGAAAGAAGTTCCTGTGACATAGACACTATTAAGAACATTAAATTATTTCAACAGCTTAGGAGAATCTAGTTTTTAACAAATAATAATCATAGTGTGAGAGTTGGACTATAAAGAAAGCTGAGCACTGAAGAATTGATGCTTTTGAACTGTGGTGTTGGAGGACTCTTGAGAGTCCCTTGGACTGCAAGGAGATCCAACCGGTCCATCCTAAAGGAAATCAGTCCTGAATATTCATTGGAAGGACTGATGCTGAAGCTGAAACTCAGTACTTTGGCCACCTGAGGCGAAAAACTGGCTCCTTCGAAAAGACCCTGATGCTGGGAAAGATTGAAGGCAGGAGGAGAAGGGGACAACAGAGGATGAGATGGTTGGATGGTTGGATCACCGACTCAATGGACATGAATTTGAGTAAGCTCTGGGAGCTGGTGATGGGCAGGGAAGCCTGGCATGCTGTAGTCCATGGAGTCACAAAGAGTTGGACACAACTGAGCGACTGAACTGAACCGAACTGAATCATAGTGGCTAAGACATGTGTTCAGATCTAGGCTTGCTCAATTACTATATATAAACTGTAGCAAGGTATTTAATTTGTCTGTGCTTCAGAATTCATAATATTAATTTTTCTGTGCTTTAAAATTCATATCTGTAAGTAATAATATAGTGAAGTGAAGTGAAGTCGCTCAGTCGTGTCCGACTCTTCGTGACCCCATGGGCTGTAGCCTAGCGGACTCCTCTGTCCATGGAACTCTCCCGGCAATAGTACTGGAGTGGGCTGCCATTTCCTTCTCCGGTAATATAGTACCTACCCCACAAAATCTCTCTGAGGGTTTGATTCTACACTGAGCTCTGTCCTCACTCTTGCCTCTCTTTGTCTCCATTATCATCTCCCTTGTTAACAATAGAGGAAAATCTTTCTGGGTCTATTCCTGGAGCGCAGCAAGAGGTAAAAGTGCATCCTCTATCCTCAGACATTAACACTAGAAGGAGATCATGTTTTTAATTTCTATGAAGGGCAACTTGGAAATCGCTTTCCCACTTCTGGGAATTTATTTGAAAGATATACCTGGAGACATAGAAATGATGTATGCACAAGGTAATTCACTGTGATGTTGGTTCTTAAGACAAAAGTTAGGAAACAACCCAAGTTTCTAACTAAATAAACTATGGGCAGCCACACAATGGAATATACTGTAAAAGGAAAAAGGAGTAAGGGAGGGGAAGAGAGGATGCAAAAGTTCTCTATGTAGGATACTGAAAGATTTCCAAGGTCTGTTGCTCAGTTCAAAAGAAAAAAAGGTAGAGAGCAGTGTCAAAACAAAGTAAGGTAGAGAACAGTGTCCTTGTATTTTTATTTCCATGTACCTTCATAAAGAAAAAACTAGGGATAGAGAGGAAAGAATGTGGTTGAGTCACAACTGGTGTATAAGTACAATTTTATATCATTCTGATTTTTGAACCATTTGAACATCATTACAACTCAAAACCAAAATTGGAATAATGGAAAAGAACAGGCACTCTAAAGACAGTCTGCCTTGATTCAAGTCCCAGATTTGCTGTCTATTAACTGTGTGTCTTAGTCAAATTCTGGTTCTACCTGATAAATGGAGATAATAAATCATAATTTCATCTTTGTATGACTGTAGTAAAAATTTTATGATTTGATACATGTGGAGTATTTATAATGCATACCAAATAATAAGTGATGGTAGCTGTTGGGATCATAAATTCAGAATGTCCAGAACTAACTTCATTTCCTTTGCTTCACCCTGATACATTCCTAATTTCATTGAGAGGCATCACCATCTTCTTGGTCATCGTAGGTATAATGAATTATTCTTAACCTTTTTCTTTCTTTCACCTTCAACTTGAAATTTGTCCAAAGTCCTATTTCTGCTCTTACTAATATTCTAGCATTTATTTAAATGCCTCTGTCCTTGCTCAGGCCTTATAAGAATATGCAGTCTGATAAAAAGTACCACATCTCCATCATTACAGCAAAGCCCATCAGTAATACTGTTGCCATTAACTTTCACCTAAGTGGCTTAATAAATATTTTCTTTGGTTGAATTACCTTTTCAAATCTTGATGTGTTTCCACTTTATATAACTTTATTAAATGTACGTTATACTAATGTTTTAAAAGGGAATATTTTTACATATTCTTACCTTGGAGAACTTGAGTTCAGTTAATTGCATGATTTTATATTATATGAAATATACCTCGGTAAGACTTTGTTTCCCAAATTATGCATTATTTAATGTGCTATTGGAGCATCACATATGGGAATAATTTTGTACACCAGGTGCATCGTTTCAATTACCTAGTTAATTTTCTACATTAATGGAAATGGATTTTGTTTATTTTAGTAAAATGAAGTCTGTTGAATTAGGGGAAATTGGCATCCATTAATATTGTTTTATTGTAGTGTATTTTGGGTTTAAAATTTCTGATCTTAGATGTCAATTATTGTCCCAAATGAATATTTCATAGAAATATGTTTAGAGGTAGTAATTAACAACTTGTAAGTGTGTTTAAGAAAACCAAGATGTAGTACTGGTTTCTTTTCCAGTAGAACTAAAGTGGTGTTCACATTTCCTCATTATATTTCTTACATGATTTCCTGTAGACATGTATACTGCTGACAGGGCCTGCATACAGGCACTGGTGTAGAGCAATTGATT